AAAACCCTTAAGAACCACCGACCAAGACCGACAACTGAGTGTTTAAACAGGATCCCGAAAGACCTTTTCACACCTTCCACCAGAAATACGTAAATCTGTACCTGCTGCTTTACCTTGGCCTGGGGGAGAGGGCGTGGTCATCCCTTAGGCTAGGAATATTCAGCCAATCAGGAAAAAGACTACCAAAAGAGAGGGGGATGAAGAAAGGTGGGAAATAGAGAATTGGGACTGAGCACTTCCTTTTGGGACTCAGAGGAGAGGACTTCCTTTTGGGACTCAGAGGAGGAGACTTCTTTTCGGGACTCAGCGGAGGAGACTTCAAGCGGGGGAGTCGAGGGAGGAAGACGAAGACAGCCGGAGAGAGCAGATGGACGGACTAGACGCTGAAGGAGAGCAGAGACAGGGAATCCAGATATGACGGCTAGAAACACTATGAAGGACCAGCTAAGTGGTAACAAGCATTTAGTTATACTAATGTAAATTTGTGTTGGCAACCATACATCATTAATTAATATAATCAATATAACACATGTAACTTTAATCAAACATCAAGCATTCTCCTCCAGTATGATTCTCAACTATTCATTATGTATATAGGTTTAGTTATTATTTTGTATATAGATGTTTTTGGTTTTATTTAAGCTTGTAAATATAATAGTTAGTAAACCAACGTAGTACTTTTACCATCTACCTTGCATGCCACCAGTTAGATATAGAACAAATAGTAAATTTAAAAACATGATACCTTTAGAAAGGAAATCCAATAAAAATTATATGGTTCAATCTAGGATACTATAGTAGGGGGTCTGTGGTATCTTACCTTTAAATACCTAATTAATATATTTTTCTGTAGATCGGTTCCCTTCTGGAACCGATATGAATACAAATATAACTATTAAATACAAATAAATGCGGTTCCTGGAACCCCTTACTCGCCGTAGAAACGCGAGGCCAGGAACATAGCAATACATATATATATATATTTTTTTTTTTTTTCAGTTGGCATTACATACCATGAAGATTTTTGGCAGCGAGAAGTGGTATCCTTACAAATTTATGTTGCTTGCTGGAGCTCAGATAACTAAGGGGTCACCCAACTCACGTTGCTATGAACCATGGTGTCTATAGTGCAGCGGCAGGCCACTCGTAACTCCATAGCTGGTCGCTTTGGGGACAATAGAATAGAAATAGAATAGAAAATTAAACTTTATTCTGGGACTAAGTCCCTTTAGAATAACAATGATGAGTTAATACAAAGTAAAGTACAAATCTGGGCAAAAACTAACTTCTAAAAATTTTAATATTATATACATTATTTAAAAAGTATGTAACCAGTAAACAATAAAAAATAAAATATATATACAAATGGACATAAAATCTTCTAAAAATTACTTAATTGTGATCGAAAAAAAAAAAAGAAGAGAAATTGCATATTTATATATACATAAGTACACAATTTATAAACAATAGGCTATCTAATAGAAAACTAACTTAATACAAAATGAAATAGTATCTACAGTGGTTTATATAATAATATGCAGACACTAAGATAAAATAAAGTCTTACGATACTTGTGGTGTAATGGAAAAAAAAAATAACTAAAAGGAACTATTTATACGTACATTCTCATATTGGCACACATAAAAACAAAGATATAAAATATGAACATATATACCCGAAAAAAAAAGCACAACCTGAGGAGAAGAGAAAAATAAATAAATAGTAAAAATAATAGTCAAACTAGGTGACAAAGATCATTGCTGTTTTATGTTAAAACTTAAACAGTAGGCACCACTATTTACTTCACGCAAATTCAGTTCATAAAATGAAATTTATGGTGGTAAATCTTCTGTTTGGGATGTAAGGAGATATTGGAAAAGGAGGTATTTGAAAGTTGACAGGGAAGAGGCATGACGGATGTTATGTGGCAAAGAATTCCAATAGGAGACGGAGCGGGCTAAGAAGGAACGTTCATAGGTTTTTGTCCTGTGGAATGGAATATAGAGGTCAGAAACACGGGATCTCGTTTTTATTGAGTGGACTAAGGGTTTAGGCTGGAGGAGACAACAGATATAGGAAGGGTGCTGGGAGTTGATCGTTTGGTATAGGAAATTTCCAAGGAAGTATAGGCGGCGGGAAGAGGGGAAGAGCCACTTTGACTCGGCATATAGGTGGGACACGTGAGACCATCTCGAAGTGCCGAAGACGAATCTTAAAAAACAGTTCATAATTCTCTTCAGTCTGTCCTCAAGCTCCAACGAGAGGCCACCGTATACCACACAGCCATAGTCAAAGTAGGGGAAAATCAATGAGGAAACGAGGAGCCTGCGGATAGGTTGTGGGAGATGCTGACGAGAACGATGAAATAATTTAAGAGTACCAATAGACTTTCTGGAGATTTGAGCAATATGGGGTTTCCATGATAGGTTTTGATCAATTCTAATTTCTAAGTTTTTTACAGAGGAGGTGAAGGAGATTGGTTGGTCATTAATAATCAAGGAAGGATGGGTGGAAATAGATCTAAGGAGGGAGTTGGAACCTATAAGAATGGCCTGAGTTTTCGTTGCATTCAACTTTAATTTATTCAAGCTTGCCCAGGCACTTATCCTATCTAGGTCTCTCTGAATATTCGTTAACGCTTCTAATAACTCAGTGGGCGGAAAGGAAAAATAAATTTGGGAGTCATCAGCATATATATGGTATGAACAATGATGGATTGAACTAGGAAGGTCATTGATGTAAGAATTAAAAAGGATAGGAGAAATGCTTGAACCCTGGGCTACTCCATGAGATAAAGTGAGGAAAGAAGATAAGGGTTGATTCGGAATACTAACGGCTTGAGTCCTGTCAGAAAGAAAGGATTGGAACTATTGGATAGAACAATTGGAAAAGGATAGAGATTTTAATTTATTGAAGAGAATAGAATGGTCTAAGGAGTCGAATGCTTTGGAGAAGTCCAGGAGTACTAATACAGTCAGTTTTCTTTCGTCAATTGCAGAATGTATGTCATTTGTAATTTTAGCTAAAGCGGATTGAGTGGAGAAGCCTGGGCGAAAGCCAAATTGGAGAGGATCTAAAAGTTTGAACTCTTCGAGATAATTGGAAATTTGGGATTGGACTATTCTTTCGAGGGACAATCTGGCAGTGTCCTTCCCACCGACTCACTCGGGTTCAAGGACAATGACAAATCGGTCTAGATCCATGGATTATGGCTGCTCGGTGTCAGCAGGCGCACGAGGACCTATATTTCTTTCTTCGAAACAGACCGTCCATGGACCGAACTTCAGAGGGGCTACTAACATCCTGGTAAGCCACATCTCGATTCCCGATTTAAGTACACGGGGTAGGGTCATCAGTCCTACGACCGGTCAGTGTCAGTTGCTTCCAGTAGCCTGGCGGGCCTCACATACCCGGAAGGGAGAGAGACTCGGGCAGCATGGTTTTTCCTGGTGAACGGTTACCCAAATAAGGCGGTCACCCATCCAGGTACTAACCACGCTCGACGTTGCTTAACTTTGATTACCTATTGCAAGCACCTTCACTGGTACGGCTACCCCAGCCTCCATTGTCCATTATATTATGTATATATACATATATATATATATATATATATTTATTCATCATAAATTAATGTTATATTAAGCAGTTTAAATTATGACTGTGTTTTTTTAATTTATGACAAATGAAAAATAATTTCCAATCGAAAATTATCGCTGTTATATATAATTTTTTTTTTTAAGTTCTAGGAAATATATATATATATATATATATATATATATATATATATATATATATATATATATATATATATATATATATATATATATATATATATATATATATATTGTATTTTTACCGTCGATAAATGTTATATTAACTTATTTTACCCATAAAAGTTTCTTTTTTATTTATTTGTGACGAATATAGTCATTTTTTTATTCTATTTTTTAAAAAAATTCTGGAAATATTTATTTTATGAATAGCCGGCCGAACAAGAAGAGCTCAGGTTTGTAATGAAAAAAAATTTAAAGGACCTTGGAGTTTCAGCTGTGAAGCACACAATTGAAAAGAGACAGTTGAAGTGGTTCGGGCATTTGAGTCGAATGCATGAATACCGAGAGCGAAGTCAATTGGAAGAAGTCCTCAAGGAAGGCCAAGGATAACATGGATAGACCACATCGCCAGGATGGGACAGAAGAGAGGGGAAGGCGGATCGCTCGAAGAGATCTCCTTGTTCGTATTGGTTAACTAATTAGCTAAAAAAGCATCTGAAATTTTCCTCATCTCTGTGCCAAATGACACAGATTACTTTTTCCCTTTTCCTGATCCAAATTTATAGACATTGGTTAAAATTATAAAAATTTAAAATAGCGTGGAGAATATGCAGTATCCTTGCGTCAAAGAAGACATTCCAAACAAATTTAAGGAACAAAAACCAGCTTATTCCTGATGGCTCAGCACAAAAAAAAAGTAGTAATATGTAAGTTTACATAAAAAGCAGATAATTTGATTTTTCAGTTTCTGAACCAGTTTTTTCAGACTTCTTATCTGAAAAGAAATAAATGCAAAGGTAAGTTTCAACATAAATCGGTGTTTTTTTTCTGCGAAATTTATGATAATTAAGTAAGATTGTTCAATGACGTCAGAGGATCTTAAAATGATTGATATGTAACATGATGTAAAGGATAGATAGAGAAAGAGTGGTCGGAATTCATGGTGTTGTTATGTTTCATTGATATTCTATTGTTTCATTAATTAATTCTATCTTCGTAGTTATAATTAAAAAAAATTAATAAAATAGTTTTTGTTTAATCAAAAGGAGCAATAACTTATTTCTGTTTTTTTCCTATGTTTTAAAATAATGCAAAAATAACAACAAAACATGGATTGTTTTGGTATCCAACGATAAATCCTTCTCCTTTTTCCACCTCTCATCTTACCGCCCTCAGTAACCAATCTGGGATTGGTCACATCCTTCAAGGTTAGCAGCCTTATCCAATAAAGGGGCCGCTGTTTTATCGTAGTGGATATTTCCTGGTCAGTACGCATTGAGGATAGGACGCCTAGAAGATGCTAATGAAGTTAAGTGGTTTGCTACTCCTTCTTGGACTGATCAACATATCATCCGCCGCGATTCGTGAGTAATGTCCCTCCAGGGAAAATATATCTTAAGATACATTGCAGAAAAGCATAAAACAGAAGGTTCAAATGTCGTCTTTTCTTCTAAGATCTTCAGTCGTTATGGGGAATATAATGAGATAAGTTTTGAGAGTGATGGAAAGTAAAATCTTGAGGGGTTGTAATTGGGTAATCATTTTTTTTTTATGAATCAACAATTTACTTATATATTTTTATAGCTAAATGTTAAAAACTTATTCTTTTATGGATAACTTTATTTTTGAAAAATAATTAATTGGGTTGTCAAAATGGATTCAGGAGGAATTCGCTGATTTCTTAGAGATTCAAATTTTAATTCCTCATATTTTTACTTTTTTACTGGACTTCATCTTATTTTAGTAAAGATGGACGATCAAGGAGTCAATTGTTGATACTTTTTAAAAATAATTTGTTGAACAAATATTGAAGTATTAGGAATCGACGGTAATTTATGTTTACGGATTTAGCTCAATTCCAAACTCCTGAGGATTTCGTTTTACTATCTAAGTATTGCTGTTTGAATTTTATTTTTAAATAGAATTTATTTCTTAATAGTTTTCAAGTGATCTTTTAATATGTTTAATTAACGAAAGATTTTTTTTAAACGATTAAAAACTTTCCATGTCCTTATGTAAATTATGTCAATCCATATTATATTATCCTGAAGATAATACCCATGTATTATTTTTCTTCCATTTGCTATTCTTATTAATTAATTAATTAATCCTGCAATATTTTATTTTTATTTCTTGAATGCTGTTTGAGATAATAATTGTTCAAGAGAGAGAATCACTTTATTTTCATAAAAGAGTGCTGTCGAATTATATTAGGTTGCTACAGACACAGCAAGCTTATCAATTATTATGAAAATTATTAATAATGATATATATATATATGTGTGTTTGTGTGTGTATAATAAGTATTAATAACGAAGATAGCAGTAAGAAATTAGTAGTAACATTAGTGATATAGTTCAAGCAAAAAATTAACTTTGATAGTTTTTATCATGTCAAAATGATTTTAGAAAAAAATGCTTTGGAATAATTTTAAAAAAAAAATGTGGCATCATATCTATAGAATGGTGCTGTCTTTATGTGCTCAAACATGAACTTTTAAACAATGAAGGTAAATTTGTAAAAGATGATTTGAGTGTGCGAGGGATATAATAATATGTGATTACTACTATAATCATTAAATTGTATGAAAATAAATTGACAAATAAACTAGTCAACATTTTGTGGATTTTTTCTTAAAAATTCGTTACCTTTAAATACATTTTAGCTTTCTAAAAAATCAATGAGTTCTAATATAAAAGTTCATAAAAATAATCACCATTCAAAAGATTGAGGTACATAGTTTAAATTGTTGAACATTATATTTTTTTATACTCTTTTTCAACCAATTTTATGATTAATATATGAGTCTTTCAGTTGACAGTATGACCAACTCCAATTTCAACATTTTCGAGTAATGTCATTTTAGTAATATTTATAGTTGGAAAGTTTATAATATTTGTACAAACATTGAGTAAGTTGATTCCAGAGTAGGTGATTGCAGTGTTGAAATATAGAACTGTGAATAAAGGTATATATATGTTTTCACTAAAATTAATAATAAAGAATGTTGAAATTGGAGATAGCCATTCTGTCAAGCGAAAGGTTCATATTACCGGTCTATTTAAAGTGTTGACGTATTTTCGCCCACTTTAATTCAGTAGATTAAAAACATATAGTAAACGTATTGTTGGAAGCCCATTTAATAGAGGCATAAATGTTTTTTTTTTTAGTTTACTCTATTTAAAACAAATTGTAATACATTAAAGAGAAAAATATATGTATATATATTAATTGACCAAACAAATTTTTGTTACTTAAACCAGAGTAATATTTTTATCTTTATTGATTTTTTTTTTTTTTTGCAGCAAGTTATATAAAAATATGTAAGAGGAATGACCCAAAAATTGACCAATGCATAATCGACTCTATAAACTTTTTGAGACCAAAACTAGTCAAAGGTATTTCATTATAAATAAAGTGCTTCCATTTGTAAATTTATATTGAAAACTGATATATTTTTTTTTTTAAGGAATTCCTGAATTGGATGTTCCACCAATCGAACCATTGTATTTTGATGAGTTCGTCGTTTCAAAAGGAAATAACTTCAAGGCAATTGGTACAAATGTCAAAGTCATCGGAGCATCTAATTATAAAATTACCAGTTTAAAGTAAGGATTTGTTTGAATATATTTCAAGTAACAAACGTTCAATATAGCAATTAATTAAATATTCAAAAAATAATTAATTCACTTCTTAAACAGGAACCAATGATTTCTATTTTTTTTTTTTTTTTTTTTTTTTTTTTTTTTTTTTTTTTTTTTTTTTTTTTTTACTTAAGTACCCCCGTATTTCGCAGGTATGTGTTCTCTAAACCACTTATTAACTTTAGGTATTATTAATAACGGTAGTTTGCAGATAACAATTTACTGTAACCTTACGTTACATTATTTATTAATTTCATGAAAGATTGAGAAATTTTTACTTCCCATTATCCTGACGTCCCGTTCCGTTGTTTCTCAAGGTATAATAATAAAACATGAAGGTGAAATATTTGTCATATGAGTAATTTTATAGTTTTCATCTTTTTCTTCCAAGTCTCTTCGGTTACAAGGCTCCTCGATCTGCCAAAATTTCTTTTTCCTCTTGGTTCTAACATGAACCATTTTGAGTTTCTGTCCTCTGGAAGTTTTGGATGCACATGCACATGCACCAGCGGAAATGTTGTCCGTCCATTTTTTTTCCTTCAATACCGCCACTTCCAGCTCCTGTCTGTCGATTTCGCATAAAAAATGCGACACCTCTTTTTTGTTTTCAGTTGAGAGTTTCCGTCAAATTAATAACACGATTTTTGTCTAGTGGTGTTCTGCCCCAAAACGGATACAGAAAGGCGGAGAGGAAAATTATTTTCTTCTGTAGTGGCACAATTGATTATTTTTCTTCAATTATTATGGCGCTTATTTGCCAGGTTGAGTAAGCGGTTTTGCGAAACAGTAGGATGCTAAAACGAACTAAATATCTCAAACGAGCATCTTTTAATTATTCCTTTTAAATTGAAAATTTACTTCTGAATTACAAAATAGATGAATCCACAAAAAAAAAAGAAAAATGTTTTTTCTACCTCATATGGTCCTTCAATAAGAGCTGATTATAAAAGACGAATTGTATGTAAATTTTTTTGTTAACATACATATATTTATTCAAGATAGAGGACGTTCCGCGTGTTCGGTCAGAAGAAACATAAAAGAATTGCTGCATATTTAATTAAATTTAACATTTTTAAGACTAAAACTATATTTTTAGTAACTTCCTTCATATAATGCTAGACAGGACAAGGGGAGACCCAAGGCGACAATTTTCTCCCTTAGCAGAGAATTTTTTTTTACTTATTCAATATTGAAATATTTATTGAGATATATTTACAAATATTTACAATTAGTAAATGTGCACACAGTAATAATACAATTACATGAAAACGTTTGTTGAGAAACTACCCATTGGTAGCACTCTAATAATATATTTACATAAGTAGATCACGAGGGCATCGGAAGCAAGGTTTGAAACGAGAGCGTTCGGATGGTTCTGGAGTTTGTTATGGAAGGATAGGTATCTGGATTGGACCAAATCGGAAACATAAGGAACATTAAGGTCTTTATGGATGATTTTAATTGTGACAAAGTAAGGAGCGTTGAGGATTTTATGAAGGGTTTTGGATTGTAAGGGTTGGATACGAGAGAAATTCGATGGTTTAGTGGAGCCCCAAAGCTCAATTCCGTAAGTCCAAATAGGTCTTATTATTGTCATATATATGAGTCGTTTGTAATTGATTGAAAGCTTAGAGCGTTTGTCTAGTAAGTGTTGGAGTAGTCGGAAACGTCGAGCGGTTTCTTGTCGTTTCAGTCTTGTAAGAGGATTCCATGCGAGTCGTTTGTCCAGGTGGAGTCCTAGGTAACGGATTTGTTAAACTGGGATACGTGGGGAATTATTAAAGGATACTGTAGGACAGGAGGTCATGGGTTTGCGACGCATAGTAAAGGTAATTTGATGGGATTTATTTTAATTCTCTAGTTTTTCACCATTCTTCAAGGTTGTGATATGTAATTGGAGAGTTTGGGATGCAATTGATGGATTATTATTAACAAATAGAATACATGTGTCATCAGCATATGTGGTGATGACAGTGTCAGGATGGGTTGGGATATCAGCTGTATAAACTGTTTAAAGGATAGAACCAAGGGTACTACCTTGAGGAAGATAAGAATAAATAAATAAATAGTGAAGTATGGATTGACTGGTAGTCGATAAAATAAGACTCGAAATGACCAAAAGCTGTCCAAAATGTCCTTTAGAATAATTAACATATTAAAGCAATAAAGATCAAACTGCCATAGATTCATTAAGAAAAGAACTTTATGATAACATAAATAAAATGAATAAATATAAGAAAAATGAATAGAATTGTATTTGGTTTCAGTTTTTTGGCAGTATCGGTTATCTTGTTCTTATTAATGTTTTTTTTTTTAGAAACTTTATAATATCCTTATAGGTTTTATTTGTTTCTTCTTGCTATCGGTTCTACTTCCATTGAAGTACTATACTGCCAAGTTTCTTTTCATAAGTGTTTTTTTTTGTAATTGAATTATCAGCTAAACGGATCGCTGTTCTGCACAAATACTGATAGATCTTTACAAATGGAATAAATTTACAGTTCACTACACTTTACCATATCGCATTCGCAGACTGTTGATATTGTTTTTGTTACTGTTTAATCAATTACAAAAAAAAAACATTTAAATCAACAGAAACTGGGCAGTATAGTTCTTCAATGGAAGTCGAACCGATAAAAAGAAGAAAGAAAATAGACACCTTTAAGGATATTAAACAAAGTTTCTAAAAAATATATCATTAATAAGTATAGAAAAACCGACACTGTCACATAAATGAAATCAAATATAATTCTATTATTTTTTCTTATATTTATTTATTTTATTTATGTTGCCATAAAGATCTGTTCTTAAATTATCAATGGCAATTCGATCACGGTTACTTTGTTGCTTTTGTAAGATAATTATTCTAAAGGATATTTCGGCCAGATCTTGTTCATTTTCAAGTCTTATTTTATTTACGAGTAGTCAATCCATATTTCACTATTTATTTATATATTCTTCGCTAATATCACTATTACTATCGTCCTTAGATGTGGCAGACTGTAATATTTCTCTAAGTAAAAAAAAATCTTTTAGCTAAGGAAAGAAAACCTCGCGTTGGTTCTCCCTTTTTCCTATCCAGCATTATATAAAAGTGCTTAAAAAAAAAAATTATATACAAATCTTCTTTTATAATCAGCTTTAATTTAAGGAACAAATTAAATAGAAAAAGTATTTTTGTTTTGTGGAATCTTTATTTTTATAGTTCAGAAGTAAATTTTCAATTTAAAATTCTCATTTAAAAAATATATATTATCATATTTAATCCATATATGATTACTTTTTTATCAAAACTCTTTTTAATCTCACAGTCTTTTAAATTGTCTGTTTTATTTTTATTTTTATTCTGAAATTCCACAAAATTTCTCTTATTCTCCTAATTTTATCAAAAATTTCATCGTGTTTAAGTGAGGAGAAGAAAAATTTTGTAGAATTTCGGCAGAAAATTAAAAATAAATCAAAACATTTTATCTTTAATTGAACAAGTACTACCATAAAGTAGTATTCTATATAAATATATAATTTAAGAAATTTTTAGAAATAATTTTTTTATATGAATAATGTTATTTTTTTTAAATAATTTTTGAAAATGACTCTTAGAGCCGAAACGTTAAAAAATAATTTTAAAAATTTATTAAAAGTATAATAAAAATAATGTAAGATTAAAAAGGGTATTAAAATAAAAATAATCATATATAGACAAAATATAATAATTATTAAAAAATGTGAATAATCTAAAGAATGTTGTCTATCACTTAAAAAAAAACAAAAAAACATTTTTTTAAGATTTGGAAAGAAAAAGTAAAATATACTCGTCCCAGATATTCAGTTCGTTTAGCACCCTTTTGTTTCAAAAAACCGCTTGCTCAAACATAGCACATAAATTTTATTTTAGCATTCTTATCTCACCCCATCCAGACTGAAACGACTAGAAACCGCCCGACGTTTTCGACTACTGCAGCACTTACTAGACAAACGCTCTAAGCTTTCAATCAATTACAAACGACTCATATATATGACAATAATAAGACCTATTTGGACTTACGGAATTGAGCTTTGGGGCTCCACTAAACCATCGAATTTCTCTCGTATCCAAAATCCTTCGTAAAACCCTCAACGCTCTTTACTTTGTCACAAAAAAAATCATCCATAAATACCTTAATGTTCCATATGTTTCCAATTTGGCCCAATCCAGATACCTGTCCTTCCATAACAAACTGCAGGACTATCCGAACGCTCTCGTTTCAAACCTTGCTTCCTCCTGGATCCCTGATAACCCTCCGAGACGTCTGAAAAGAAGATGGCAATGGAACCTTCTAATATAGAACTTTAATTTGAGTTCTACCAATGGGTAGTTTCTCTTCATGTTGTACATGTCATGTTACCAATGTCACATTTGCTTGTTGTATTTTCTATGTAATACAGTTGTAAATTTCATTAAAATAAAAAATAAAAAAACATTCTTATCTCAGACGCATTTAAGTTAGGAATAGTCTAATTTTCTTTCTATTGACTCCTCATATATTTCCCAACTAACGAAAAATATTCTGAAAGGCCAAATAGTTACTAATACCTGTCTAGACATATTTTAAAGCAGATGCTCTCATAAAAAAAAAAAAATGAAACTGACTTTCCAGGCATGAGGAACTTAAATTATTTACATAATAAATTGTAAGAAATTTATCTATATATTAAACAATTTATCTTTATTAATTTACAATACAATTTATCTTAATTAATATTGAAATTAGAGTTTGTTTCTAAATAACTCTGTTGGAGGAGACGCATTAAAGTTTTTATGTGCCATTCAAGGTTATCCGCTTTTGCAGGTCTCTTTTTTTTCGTCCTGTTGGTAGAACGAGTCCATGACGATTAAAAAAATAAAACTAAATAAAATAGAAAAATTAAATCAACAGTTTTTACAAACCAGTTACATGGTTATGAAAATCCGAAGGTTGCATTAATCTATCAATTGTTATTGTTCAAAATTGCTTCAAGAAGCAAAAGCGTAATCAAATAGATAAGATAATTTTTATTCTTCTATTCGTGTGAATGAAAAGTTATTGCTATTAACTATTAAAATTATTTAAGAAATCAAAAGTAAAATTTACAGTTTATGTTTATTGAAAGCAATAAATTTTGTTTAATTAAAAATCAAGCAATGTTTATTATTTATTTATAAGAATATGAAATTCTTTTAGATGAATATGGAAGATTCTGAAACTATACAATTAATAAAGAGATATCTAAACAGCAAACAGTTTATAAACATTCTTACATTGTACAACAGAAATAACTCCTATGCAGTTATGTAACCATAGTATCTTTATAGGCACATGTTAACAACAAAAGCTCATCTGAAACACCACAATATTATTATTGTAACAAATTTCGAATAAGGTGACTCTATCATATGTAGTTGTACTAGGAACCCTAATAAATAAATAAATAATATTATTTGAATACAATTAATTAATTTTAAAAAATGATTAAGCTGGTTTTAATAAAAGTGACAACAGCATCAAATAAAATTTAAAAAATGATTTAGACTAAACGACAAAAGCGAACATATCAACAAGGGATTTATAATATGCAAATAAAAAATTTTGTTGTTCTATATTCATAAAGCGGAACATTTACAATATATACAATTATAACTGTTTATAAATTAGTTTGATAAATTATTCTTTGTGACAAGCAAGTATTCAAAACTGTATCTTGGCACGACGCAGCGTTAGAGAGGCTAACAGGGAAAAATTGACAACAAACAAATGATAACGAGTTTTTATAGGAATCCGAAAAATGAATATCATATTTCTATCACAAAAAAAAAAAATTATTTCATTATTATTTTATGGTGTAATATGTGTATAACATGTACAATACATGTTTTCTACTTATTTTCTGTTTGAAGATCGATAGCATACTATTTTTTGTGCATATAATATTACTTTTGATACCTTACGGTTTCGAAAAAAATTTATATTTGTCATACATATATAGTATGTGTTTAATATTGAAACAAATATAACTGCTCTAAGGAATAAAGTCTATTCAAATATTGTGGAAACAAAACTGAATCAAGCAAATAAAATAAGCTGAGATAAAAATAAAACGTTTGGAATATTTTTATATATTAGTTCCTTATAAAGAAGAGAAATCTAAAAATTATCGATAAAGTTAGTTTTGAAGAGCAATAATTTACCTTCCCAACGGTTGTAGTAACGTCAATTTAGGAGAAAAATCTGAGGAATTATGAATAGTTTAGTAAACGGCATGAGATTAAATCCTTTCATAAAATTATGTCCAAAAATTTATAATTTTTTATTTCAAAACAAACTCCTATTAAAGAGTTTTAGTGGACTCTAATAACCGATCTGCATCGTTTTTGTTTTTTTAAATGATAAAAAATTGCTTGACCTACATTACTGGAAGCGCCTATAGGTTATTGTAGCTTATAATTCGTTTAATACAATTAGCCATGTGTTTTTCTTATTTCACACACACAAAAAAGTCCATCGATATATAATAACATATAAATCCATACAGAGCGAAATTAGAAAACAGTAACATAAAGAAACAATACAATTTTATAAAACATTGTTTTTCCCGTTTTCTAAGATGCATTGGCAAGAACCCTCGTACATGGGTGTAACATTTTTCGACCAAAAAAAGTGTAATTGAAATCAGTGACCCCAAGTCCATCACTAACCACAAAAAGTGCTAAGCGCTCCTAAAGATTTTTTTAATTCAGAAACAAAGAAGTTCTAGAGCTTTGCGTACCTTAATAAATCGTTGAATTAGTAATCGTTGAACAAATAAAAAAAAAATTAAATGATATTACGTATTTATTATGAATAGAAATAGAAAATTTTCAAGAATCTATTGATAATAACATTATGTAGACTGTAGACGCAAATAATAAATTTACTTTTATTCACCACTTGGATAAACGTCTCACTTGGAATCCACGTACTAGACTGGAATGACAAGAAACTGCTCGACGTTTCCGCTTACTCCAACACTTCTAGACAAACGCTCTAAACTTTCAATTAATTAAAAAGACTCATCTACTTAATCATAATAAGACCTATATGGACATCCGGAGTTGAGCTTTGGGGTTCTATCAAACCATCGAATACCTCTCGTATCCAATCCTTACAATCCAAAAACCTTCGTAAAATCCTTAATGCTCCATATTTTGTCACAAATAAAACCATTCATAAAGACCTTAATGTTCCATATGCCGCTGATTTAGCCCGAGCCAGATACCTATCCTTTCATGATAAACTCCAGTCCCATTCAAATCCACTTGTTTCCAGCCTTGCTTCTTCCTCGATTCCTGATAATCTCCCTAGGTGTCTGAAAAGAAGATGACCACGTGATCTTCTCACCTAAATATGGAGTGCTACCACTGGGCAGTATCTTTTCAAGTATGTTCATGTCATTATTTCCAATGTGTGCATTTTTACTAGTTGTATTGTTTATAAAGTTGTAAATTTCATTGAATAAATAAAATTTAAAAAACGTATTAAATTATTGCTAAATATTCAATCATTGTATAATATTGCTGTGTGTATTTGTGATTTTTTGTTTAAATTTCCGGCATGAATGTATTGCGGGTTCATTGTGAATTTGTATAGAGGGTGTCTCAGATCTAATGGCCAAATTCTGTGGGGTGATTCTAGACAAAATTTCTTACAAAAAATTTGATTTGGCTCAGAGGCAGATTCCGAACGGAAAATGAGTTAATATTGAATTACAAGGAATTGCTCAAAAACTATGTAATATAATTAAATTCTATGTACGCCATCGTAATGTACACAAAATTTTCTTTCAGAAAATAGTGATTAAATTTACTATTCATCAGATCCTGCTTTACTGACAGACACTTCAAAGTAAATCATAATAATGCCTATTCATCCCTCTTTTCTCAATCCGCTGGTGTTCCACAAGGTAATATCCTTGGTGATACCCTATACCCTGTTTACACAGCTGATATCCCAACCCATCCTAACACTGTTATCATCACCTATGCCGATGATACGTGTATCCTATCAGTTAATAAGGATCCATCAATTGCATCCCGAACTCTTCAATCACACATCACAAGAAGAATGGTGTCAAAACTGGAGGATTAAAATAAATTCCAACAAATCAACTTTATCCTTCGTCGTAAACCTATGACCTAATGTCCTACAGTATCCTTTAATAATACCCCACCTATCCCAGTTGAACAAATCCGTTACCAAGGACTCCAGTTTTTGAGCAATTCCTTCTTGTTCCACAAAAACGTGACCCCCTTAAGCAAGACACAAGATTGGTCTTAGCTCCATTTCCGTCCGGAATCAGCCCATGCAACAAATGAACTTGTTGGAAATTTTGTCTAGAATCATCCCCCGGAATTCAGTTATTAAGAATTTAGATACCCAACGTAGTACAATTAGAGTCAATCAATTCGCGAAGCTTATTAGTACCGCATCATATCTAGCAAAAACATCATATCTGGATATTACGGGATATTCATGCTTCATTCTGCAAAATTTGCAGACGGTGACTCAGTTAATCCCAGTTTGAAGAAACCTTTAATTGTTCGAGGGTGGCCCATATTCCTATATTCCTGTGAAGCATCTTTTAAGTTCTTTTTTCTATGAGTAGCAGTACACTTTTCTTTTGACATGGTCCTTCTGAGATCATCTTTCGTGTCTGCTTTTAGAATTCTAGAGTTAGAGTATTTTTAGTAGAGTTTATTCTAATTACCATCAGCTAACTTAATTAGAATTTTGGAATTGAGGAGGCCAGTGACGTAAATAGTAGGTAGGTTCTTCTACCCACACATTAGCTCACACATTTTCACTATACAATAATGTTACGTAACCATAAAAAATCTCGGTAAAACTCTGAGTTGATGTAATGATTTAACTAAAATACAGATTGTCACTTAATTATGGTTTACTATCAAAACATTACCATTAGATTATGCCATAAACCTCTAAATAATATTTCTCAGAGGTGTTTTTTGTCCATGCGCTATATCTTCGGTAATTCTTCCAATGATTAAGCCGTATTTTGAATTTAAAAAAACACTAGCATATGAATAAACCATTTAAGTATTTTCGTTTCCCATAATTCGTGACATGTCTAAACACATTTTTAAGCTACTCTGTTTAAAATGTTTATTTCTAGTGCAGCGTGGAATATTTTGTTATGTACCGCAGCAGGTTTTTTTCAGTTTGTTTTAATGATATCAAATTTCAGGGCAGACACAAACAAACAGATTTTCCAAATCGGACTTTCATTTCCCTACATAAACGTGGAAGCCGACTATGATGTCAACATGAAGCTGCTAACTATCAACCTTAAAGGGAAGGGACCTCTTCAGTCAAACAATAGTAAGAGGATTGAATTTATATTTATATTATTTATTACAATCTGAAATGGAAGGCGTTTCAGTTAAAGTGGAAAAACTTTATAAATCCATTCCAGAACAGACATTGTTCCTTTGAACAATATCTTCTCTTAATTTTTTCTTCTGTTCAACCAGTTACAAGCTTCTAATTTTCCGTCCAATGGTAAGTCAGTGATCATCTCATTGTGTATGTTTTAACCTCTTTATTTGAATGAAAATTAAAAATAAATTACTCAACTTTAGCCCAACTCGCCAGATTGACCTACTACATTATCGAAGCACGTCTGTATATTTCTAGACATACAAAAAACATTTGACACAGTTTGGCACGCATGAATTAATTCGTATACTTATAGTATATAAAATCCCACCCTACTACTTAACAATAGGTCCTTTTTCATCACAATAAACACTCTCCATTCCACAATCCATTTCCTAACTGTATGTCTCCTTTAAGGCTCCTGTCTTTCTTCTATTCTATTTAATGTATATATTCTAGATATTCCTTGCATTTCTTCATTAGAACACTCACTATATGCAGATGATACAGCAATTTTCTTTCGGAACACAATAGCTATGGTTGTCACTTTTTTAAACTACTTTCCTTATAACTTATGAGATATACTGGGAAGACAAAATATTTAAAATAGATCATAATAATTTTAGTTTTGATTCGATATATGCAAAAATGCCGCAATTAGGGTAGATAGAATACGCTGATACCGACTCAAACTAACTAATAGAATCAGTTGAGTCTCAATGATCAACTTGGTATCACACGTTCTTATAATTAAGAGGTATAAACTATATATTTCATAAATCTTCACTCAGTCCCTTTTGTGATATAACATAAAAATCGCCGATAACGATTTTGAGGGTTTTGAAAATTCGTATTTAAAAAAGAACAAGGTTTTCAAGAATAAAATTTCATCAGCAAAAAATAAAGTGGTATATTTGAAAAAAAAAAATACTGCTGAGACTCTTTTCTATATTACATTTTTGCAGCCCTAAATGTCACTTTTTGTCTATTTTCATCATTTTTTTAAACCACTTTCCTTTCTTTTTAAATGATGTATTGATCAACAAAAATGTAGGAAAATACTCTAAATTATTTCAATTTTTATTTTACTTGATATCTACAAAATAACCGAAGTTACAGGCATTTTCCCAAAACATGTTTTCAGTCGAAAATGAAATAAAAAATGGCCGCCGAGAAAAAACTGTGAGCCTTAATTTTTTTTTTTAAATTCGGCTTTGAACTCTCAAATAAATATGGAATAGCTAGTAAGAAAATTATAAAAATCCAAAATGTCGAGCAACAAAATTAATTCAAATTGGGTGATTTCAAATGGATTGACCCTTTATTCGAGTTTCAATGATTCTTCATTACTATTAAAATAATCGTTGATATTCGAAAAAATGTGCTACGAATAGAGAATTTCTTAGTTTACTTGTTTAAATGTTATTGATTTTAATATTACCGTTGGAAAAGAAAATATAGTTTTCCGCGTTTCCTGAAAACAATTTCAAACATTATTAGGGTTCACTTTGGAAAATCATGACTCACTTAATTTAATTTTTATGATGAAAGTTCTGGATATGATAATATTAACTTTGATTGCAGGTGATGTCACTATCCAGGCAATAGCCAAGGGACACAAGAACCAGAAGGATAAGAAAACTTACCTCCTCTTCGACTCATTGGATTTGAAGATTAAGTGGAAAAACTATAACATCAGACTTGAAAATTTATTCGGTGGAGACAAAGTCCTAGGTAAGATTAGATCTTAGCAACAATGTAATAGATTTCATTAACACGATAAATTTCCTAAGACTGACCGAGTGGATTGTGACATGATTTGACAAATCCCAAAATAGATTATCAAAACAATTTTTCAAAATTCAAAATCATCAAAATTTCAATTTTTCTTCTTATATTATTTGATGTTTAATAATTCATATAAGACAAAGATAAAATATGAAAATTTTTCTCTTCTGTATATGTTAATTTATTTATCTCCCCAACGTTTCGGACTCTTTGTCCATCTTCAGAGACATTTCTTTTCAATGTTAGAACATCATAACGTTATTAATATTTGTTACAACTTTTTCCTATATTTACACATATTTGTTTATTAGAACTGTAGATTAAAACGAAGTCCATTTAAATAACCAGAAATGTGATGATGAAAATTGACCAAGTGATATATAAAATTATTATATAGAATATAAAAAGAAATACAAATGCTTGACATGAATTAGGAGAATTGGAGATAAAGAAGAAAAAATTGCCAATTTTAAACAAATATGTGTAAATATAGGAAAACATTGTAACAAATATTAACAACGTAATGATGTTCTGACAGTGAAAAGAAATGTCATAGAAGATGGATAAAGAGTCCGAAATGTTGGACAGATAAATAAATTAATATATACGGAAGAGAAAAGTGTTCATACTTTATAGCTTCAATTTTTCTAAAATAATTTCACTTCACTCCGACCACAAGTTTACAAACTATAAAAGTTCGGTAGTATAAAAGTTCTACAGGATACATTCAATATCTAACATTCTCTAGCTGGAGTACGCCTTTTAAATATTCCATAGAAATATATCTGAATTCAACTCAGGAACCTCTTTCATTTTACCATAAATTAATTCAACAATTGGTTAGTCCTTTTGAATCTTCTAAGCTGATCCAATTCGATATATCACTTATAGCGAAAGAGCTTTTACATTGGATCCAATACCTATGTTTGTGTTACTTCTATGAAGCTTATAGAGTTAATTAATCTCCGTAAAGTTATCCATAAAAGACAGCTTTGGAGACGTCCTTAAATTCTCTCTTACTCTAAATTATTTTGCAAATATGACAGTATAACATATTAGTCATTAATATAAATTTCTTTTACAAATTTTTTTCCCTTAGTTCACAGTAAATTTCTTTTCAACAAATCTGAAACATTTTGCATCGACTCCCCACTCTGCTTCATAATCTTGTTTTTTAATACAAGTATGTGCTGTTTCCTAAAAACGCTTGCCATTCAAAGGTAAGATTTACATAGGACATAACATACTTAGGAATTTTCTTAAAACTATATTTTGAGGTGGGTATTCAGGAATATGGATGGGAAAATTAAAATAAATCATGTAATTAATTGTATGTTTATTAATTTATTAGATCCTGTAAGCCCAATTTGTGTTTTTATTAAGGTAGTCAAGGTTTTTACTGAATAAAAAGAAATCGCTCAAACAACAGTTCAAGATAATTGAATTCTAAGTACACCCTCATAAAGTAGGCAACTTTGAATTTAAATTTACTTACTTGAAACTTTTAATTTACTTAAGTCAATGTTGAAATGTACTTTCAGGAGACCTAATTAACGCAAAGCCTACCATTATGCCCTATTATTTTACGAATCGAGATTGCAAAGATATGTTGTTCGAGTATGGCAGCAGTACATCGGCTTTTTAATTCCGAACTTTTTTGTTGGAAATTTCGTCTAAAATCACACACCAGAGTTTCGCCATGAAGAATTGAGTCACCTTATATGTACCATCCTGTATTCCTCATCCATGTTTTGATAAAATATATTTAATTTATCAAATGAATATATTCATTCATATTTATTAATATGGATAACCTACTGTGTTATCAAGCAAAGTATGAAATCATAATTTAAATAAGTAGGCAGACAACATACCTCAATGTAGTGTATGCAAATCCCGCAATCATTAACTAATTAATTTTATAATTAATTTGTATTAGTAATCAGAATGATATAAATTACTCTATCGTTATTATTTTATTTTTAGGTGATGCAGTCAATGGTGCCCTCAACGAAAACAAAAAGGAAATAATAAATCTTATCCGGCCGAAGATAGAAAAAATGATGGGTGAAAAAATGCTTGGTGTTGCTAATAAAATTACCCAACATTTCACATATGATGAACTTTTCCCGGCAAAGTGATTTATACGACCTTTTCGTAAGGTTTTTAAAAGTGGTCAAACTGAATCATAATTAGAATAATATGACAAGTAGTGCCTACATTAATGTGATATAAATTGTTCATAATGTAATTTAATGTTTTAAATTCAGCTGAAGTTGAGTTTAGCATAAATTAATTAAATACTGTAATTAACTGATGTACTCATAAAAATAAATCAATATTTTACTATTTGATTGATTTTAATAAAAAATGTGTCTCCCACCGAAGATGTCAAGCCCGTCCAGTCATGTCTAATCCTTCAAGCAAGACTTCTCTAATAGTCCGTGGTACAGACCCCTTTTTATCGAATTATTAACATCCACCTGAAACTTCGTAAATAGTTTGTTCTCATCGTAACCTACAGCTATTTTATTAGTCTATTTAATTAGGTACTGAAAACTCGCAAATATACATTTTCTTTCTGCTTGGATCGTAAGATAATTTGATCACAAAACAGATAAAAAAAAGGTGAACTACAAAAATATTGGGCCATTTGTCCTATATAACCTAGTTATTTTGAAATTTTGGGGGTGTAGGTCACACCAAACAGCTCAATATTTTTGAAGGCTATTTTTTTTTTTTATTTTGTGATCAAATTATCTTACTATTCAAGTAGAAATCAAATGTTTATTTACGAGTTTTTAATACTCTTCACGGACTATAATCCGTTAAGCAGATGCCTTAGTCGAAAGTAGCCTACCATATCTCTAGTTCTGTCTTATTTTCTCTGATTTTTCTCGATTGACTGCCATATTTCATACTAAAAATACAAACAATTATTTGTATTCTACTTAATTATATCGTCGATACAATTGCAAACTATCGAATATGAAAAATTGCCATTTTCAGTCCTGCATTCTAGGGATTGTTATTGTAATTAAATATTTTTATACAGCGATTAAAAAATCTTCAAGTATTCATAAAAGCATCAAACAGTGTCGAAATCAAAACATCCTCATTGTTTGGGATGAATTGATGAATATAGTAGAGAGGTGATTTCCATATTTGATAGTTAGCCAAAAATATTTGTAAAAAATGAAAATACAAACTTGAAGAATTTTGACATACCCATCCTTATTTTTTTTTTATTTATGTATACGTTACTTTATACCCTACCCTGTCTATTAAGCAATACGGTTGGTTACAACAGTGGGATGTTATTCATGTCTGCGTAAAAACACACTGCTGCAAGTAAGCTATTCACAATCTTGTGCTGTACATTCTATCCCTGAGTTTGGCCACCGTCCTCTTCTTTCTCTCCTCTGCAACTCCTTCAATTCCTTCTGGATTGACCCTTCTGTGTCCCTAAACCACCACCGGTGATAGTCCCACACAGATAAATACTCGGCAGCAACCATTAGGTTTTTGTTTACGAAAACGAACACAAGGATCACTTGCCGGAATTGTTCTCCCTACCACCATTAAGTCTGCACTGCCAGATAGGTTTGGAAACTGTTTAATGGATTTCTAATTTCTTGTTAATTACAAGTTTTATATAGTGGATTTTTTATATAGTACTCCATATAATCAGCCATATCGCCGGTTGACGCCTTGCCAATGAATTCTAATATGTGGGTTTTTAAAGCAAGCCAAAATACTAGACTGTCTATGAGAAAGCGAGGTGTATGGATGTGAAATGAACTTGTGGACAGGCTCTGTTTTGAAGGGCAACAATAATAATGGATTCATTTACATTTACAATAAGGGAGATTGTAGGTAGTATTAGTATCTTATAGGTTGTTTTAAGTATGCTGTTTCAGAATCTGATTTGAATGATTGGTGGCAGTGTCGTTAGCGAATGTTGTTAGGAAGGTATCAGGATCATTTCTACGATTTATGAAAGAATTTCAGTTGGAGTTGGATTGGCTAGAAGAATAATACTCTTAGTGACTGAAAATATTTTCAGTGCGTTACTGGCATGGTTAGAAGTAAACAGTGAGTAGCGAAAGCGAGTAGATGATAAGAGGGGAACTTATCTATATTGAAAGCAGTTTTTGAATGTGTGTGGCAGTACAAACCTTAAACAAAGTTCACATTTGGTCTAGTAATATGTGATTAGTACGTTTGTGTGTTTTATTCTCAGTGATATCTGGTCAAAGTCTTCAATGGCATGTATGGCCGTGTTATCTAAAGTCGATTTAGGGGTGACTTGAAAGTAATGTCCTTTCTGAGGATGTCCCTATTTCTTTGTCATTATGCAGCTAATTGTGTACATTTATGTCGTGGCAAATCCATTCTCACGTTAGAGCGACTTCTTTAGTTGTAATTAATTAAATTTAAAATTGTGCAATCGCAAGTATCCAGCCGAATACCAGAAGAGGTACATATCCGGTGTTGAGTGTCGAGTAACACAGCAGTCGCTACGAAAAACATTTTCAATGTTTATTCAAATGCCGTTCGAAAATTCCAATGATGATTTTTCATGGTAAAATCAGGTAATATTGATTTTTCCGACTTGTTTCGATCAAGAAGACCAACGAAGCTAGACAATGACGTGTTTATGGTGGAAATCGAAGCAAACCCGTGTCAAACATTCGGGGAATTGTCAAACAGTCTTAACCAACCTTACTTGACCATCCAAGAATATTTGCAGCAGATTGGGAAACCAGTGCGTTTTATAATCGCTTGATCACCGGAGATAAAAAAAGGAAACTGTATGATAATCCAAAACGCGAAAGGCAGTGGCTCCCCCTAAAAGAATCGCCACGAAGTACTGCTAAGCCAGGTTTACACTATAAAAAGGCCATTTTGGAAGTATTGGTGGAGCGTTGCTCATTTTGAAGTGCTTAAACCTGGACAAAATATGAATGCAGACCTTTATTGAGAACAATTGAATAGTGTGTGTAAATCAATCTTTAAATAAAAAATGGCCGGCAATTGTCAACAGAAAAGGCGTTAATCTACAGCACGAAAATGTAAGATTGCACAGCTTAAGACAAACCCTGGAAAAAATTAATGAATTGGGGTGGGAGGCACTGCCTCATCCATCATACTTGCCCGATGTTGCACCATCAAATTTCCGTTTGTTCGGATCGTTTAAACACTTTCTAATTCGCAAATGATTTGCAAATTAGAATGATGTCCAAAATGTCATCTCTATATATTTTTCTCAAAACCTAATTGATTTATATCCCCTCTGCACTGAAACATTGCACACTAGATGGCAAAAGGTTGTTGATAATGAGGATAATTCTATCAATGATTAAAGAAGAAAACTTATGTGAAATTTATGTGTTCGAATTTAATGTAAGAAAACGATATTACTTTCCGGTCCCGTGTAATGTTTAATTGTCGGAAGGTTTAACTCTGCTAGCATTTATAAAATTCTTGTGTCCGCTGATAGTTGTTTACGATCCTCCCACATGTATTTTAAATAACCTATAACTTTCTATTACTGGATTCAGTAGTTGTATTTGATGGAAGGATAGAGTAAAGACAAAAGGAGTGTTATATGAATTGATATCAAAGTATTAACTAAGGATTTGAATAGATAAATAATGAAGACAAATTAATTTTTTTATTTAATAACTGACACAGGTACAATTTACAATATATTTAAACATGGAAAAAGTGCATTTAAAAATTTAGTCATGGATATAATTTGACTGGTAATTTATTCATAATATTTCCATGTTAATTTATTTTACTACTATACGAAAAGGAAAAATTTTAAACTTAAAATATTAAAACAACACAATTTTCATTAGTTTCATATGGCGCAAAGAAACTTTTTCCCTTGATTCTTGAATAGTGGAATTAAAAATAAATTATTTTTTAATAGGACAAATAGTTTATTCTACTTTTATTTATCTGTTTATTATTCCGGAAAGAGTTCTTCAAACGTGAAATTTTTCGTAATTTTATCTGTTATATCTAATAATGTGTTTGACACGACCCTTTCAAGCGTTGGAAGAATTGCGTCCAGTAGCTCTTTCTTGTTCTGGTTCAAAGCGGCATTGACAGCTTCTCCTATAAAAACAATATACGTATATAAATAAAATAAAATAAATAATTAACTTTAGTTTAGTTAAATTTATAATAAAGCCTTCATATTTTGAAAAAACAATAAGTACCTTTTATGTTTGAAGAAACAAAACCCACTTAAAAAACGTACTAGAAATTTTAAATGGTTTATTATTGAATCCCAAAAAAAGTATATACTTAGATAGTTTGTGAATTTGTTTCAAATTTTTAACTGTTGATATGAGGTGGGAATCTGAGATTTCCAATCGTTTAATAATATGTTTCAGATTTGATAATGTTTGTGAACAGTAGTCCACCTTATACTTAACGTGTTGCATTTATCGTTATTCTTTAAGCTTAATTACTATTATTTACTTTTCGTAAAATATGGCAAAAACAATGGAAATGAAAAAATCATATCAATATGAATAGAACTTAAATAGATTATCTCTTACGTGTAAATAAAGGATTACATATTATTACCTAAACGTCTATCGCCATTAAAAAGATTTTCCAACTTGACGTTATAGTTTTTCCACTTCAACTTGAGCTCTAATGCATCGAATTTAGCGTACGTCTTTCCATTTCTGACTTCTTTGTGCCCTTTCAAAATGGCGTTTGCATTAATGTCAGCTGTAAAAGCGTTTTTTTAATTAGTTGATTATAATTGCATACAATTTATTAATTATTTTTAAATCAAAATTAAAATATAAATATAAATAAATGGATAGTCTATGAACAATACGAGAAAGTTTCCGTGATTTCAATCAGGAACTGAATCAAAGATTACAATGTGATTTCCCTTTCAACTAATTGTCATTGAACGATCATCTTATCTTCATTGAATTGTGGGAAGACCGTAACAGCATTGTAATCTTGATTCATCAATGATGTTCTCATTGATTAAGCAATTGATCAAACTATCATATAAGAATACATTATTCAAATTTATTAAAATGCAGAAGGGCTAACTCTCGACGTCATCCTGCTAGAAGACTGATTGAGAACCATGTTCAAAAGAGAAGATTTAGCAGATCTCCCGGAGAATATCCGATTAAGAATTGCTGAAGAGCCGAGGAAATGGAAGATCATCCAAACAGATAATATAGATGAGTGGAATAGGCGGTGGGTGAACACTTCGAATGGAAATATTTTCCAATAGCCCAGAGGCGCTTAAATGCGAAATGGGTTCTCCCGGACAACTAGGTCTCTTTTTTTTATAAAAATACTGGGTCTCTGGATTTCTTACAGGGAAAGGAGGATTTCTTCCACGCTAAGTTGCATAGCCTTGGAAAAGATAAAGATCCACTTTGCTCCAGATAGGGAGTACCTGAGACGGCTGAGCACGTCATAGCCAAATCCTCCGCCTTTAATGGCCCAAGAGCCAGGATAATGCAGGAAACTGGAATTCATGCTCTCACAGAAATTGAATTTCCTCAACTAGTGACGGAGCAGAACTACATGTATTACAAAGCTTTTCTGTACGGGTGGAAAACTGCTCTGGGCCCGGCACAGCTTCAATCTGGGAAGAAGAGGACCAATTCCAAGACGGCCACCAGAATGAAGAAATTATTTTCTACCCTAAGATTCGAAGGAGACAAAATGTTTTTTGTGTTTAAAGATTGTATATTTAATAGCAGGGATGGCATACAATATAGTTATGTGATATAACATCCCTGCAAAACCCGTGTAGCCGAAAGGCAAGCAGGGAATAATAAATAAATAAAATAAAATTATTCAAATTTTATTTGTAAAAAAAATATATTTATTCATTTATTGTTTTGTTGCCTCTACCCTGTAATGTCATTGGCAAAACCTTTAAATTACACTCTGTTGTAGAATTTTATCGCTTTTAAGAATTTTAAATTTTTTTAACTGCACTTTCGCTGTCTTGCAGATTTTCTTTTAGGCTCTAAGCCATGTCCAATTTTTTCAATCTTATAGTTTGCAATATAGAGCAGTCTTGTATAATATGCATTACTGTCCTTTGGACATTGCAGCTCTCGCATGTCGGAGGATCAAGTCCTCTAAATAGGTAGGAGTGCGAGAACTCACAATGTCCAATTAGTAATCTGCAGAGGGCTGTCTGTCTCTTCTTTTCTAGAGGATCGGTGAGAGGTTTCCCACTTTAAACAGTGGGGTTTAATTTCCTTTAATTTCGATTCTTTTTGTTCCCACTTGTTTTGCCACCTGTTCCACACGTTTTCCTTAATTTTTTTAACGTAATCCTCTAAAGGGATTTCATTAATTGATTGATTAAAAAACAAAATTATTAGGATTTTACATAAACTGTAACAATGATCACTCACTATTGTTTGATTGAAGAGGTCCATTTCCTCTAAGAATCAACGCCAGAATTCGCATGTTGACATCATAGTTTGCATCTACCTGGATATAGGGGAAGTGAAGACCAATGAAAAATGTCAGTTTGGGAATGTTCGACCTAAAAAAACATAAGAAATAGAATTAGAATAAATTATTGAAAATGGTTTATGAAGATCATTTTGAGTACTTTTGAAATTGTTTTCAGATTATTTATGACAATAAGGACGCTAAATGTAGCGATTTCTCGTTTGACTACACATTGCAACCATCTAATGGTGGGCCCAAGTTGGTATAAATTACGATCATCAGTCATTCATAATATATATTCAAGAACAAGACAATTCATTGATTTATCACCTTCTCTTAAGCTACTGAAGAGCCTAACCAATAACTATCCCAATATCTGATCTTAATGAATCCATCATTTCTGTAATCATTTACATTATGCCTTATCACCGGATTCCGAATGCTAAACGATTCAGTTAACTGATGGTGTTGACCACTTACTTGAAGCTCGTTATTTTGTAGTTGGAGGCTCCGCTAATGACCACATCGGTACCGACTGCTCTGAAGGAACTGGTCTTGGCGATGACGATCTCCGGGAAACGAACAGGTTCCAGGGACGGTATATCAAGCTCCGGTATACCTGGAACAGAGGGAGGATCATAGAGGTACGTTATACTCTTTGGAATCTGTCCTCACAATCTACTTACCTTCCAGTATTCATTGAGTTTAGAGAAAGATGGTAAGAGTCCTTTATGTTGATATCCATCAACGACCACTTCTTAGAGCCACCATTTGGAAGCACTGTCTGCACGATTCTAATGCTATGAGGAAAAAAAACCAACACAGAAATGAATAAAAATTACATAAATTTGGAAATGTTCACTAACAACGGCAAGAATGTCAAGTTCAAGAGTACTCCACACAAAATGTTCAGTCACCTCTGAAGGTCTCTCAAGCTTTCACTCCACTCTAATGACATATAATTACCAACAGTCAAAGGTTCATCCCTATATTTTCCTTAGCATCCATCTAATAAATGTCTATCCATCTTTTTTTCAATGAGTCCTTTTCCTTTATTTTACAATACTTGTTAAGATGCTACAACTTTGTCGATATCTTCATCACACAGCTAAGATCCCATAAGCAGGAGGCCCTCTCTTATTCATAAATTGGAATTAATTGTGAAATTTTATCCACCAATTCCAGTTCATTAATTTGGCAGTTCACTTTGAGGTTATTAATAATTTTCACTTTACACCTCCTTTAATGTTTATAACAATATATATATATATATATTTTACCTTGTAAATTTTTGTAAACATATTTGATGAATCGTTCCTTGTTTTTTTGTTTTTTTTATTATAATTTAAATTAGATAAATGTACACAATGGTATGACGCAGTGGAGACCATTAATAACTTATGGTCTGGCCTGAAAATTCTACATTCATTTTAATTCAAAGAATATAAACAATTAAACATTTACATTATTTAATACGTAACATATTTAATTAGTAATCAATAGTAATTGATTAATTTTAAATCTCTTTGTGATAAATTAAAGACCTTCAATTTATTTATGCAAATATCCATGTGTGAGTGGAAACCGGCTATTATAGTCATTATCTTCAAGCTATAATGAATAGGTAAAATAATTAATTCTAAATATTTTTTTTTAAAACTGGTTTATTTTTATTACCATATTATTAACCTAATATTTTTTATCTTAAAAATAGAATATATAAACATTTGAATATTTTTTTTTAAAAAACAACAGTTAATTTCCATGTATATTCTTGGACAGAAAAAGTTAATCATTAAAATTACCAAATGTAATAAATAAAATAATAATAACAGTTCCTATGTAACTTTTTTTAAATAACTCTTTATGTATTTCTATAACAGTGGTAATAATATATTAGTAATGCCAAAGAGATTCAAATATGTCTACATATATTTTTTTTTTTGCTTTTATAGATTATTCTAGTATAAAACTTTTTTTTTCTCCTCTCATACAGTTACTCTTTACGATTACATTTTGTTTACATTTGTGTTGTAAATTTATATAATAATTGGCGTATATATATTTTGTTTTTAACTACTTCACATAATTAATACTATTTGATTTTCAATTAATATTCTAAAGAAACACCGTATTAGCTTGAAAAATATTTTCAAAATTTCAATGATAACTTACTCACCTTTCAGTAGTAGAGGTTTCAATGATTCGACTGAGTTCAGAATGCACTGATCAATCATAGGATCGTTTCGATTACATACGTGGATAAATTCAGCTGAAAAGATATATATATTCATAGGATTAACATTATAATTTTAGAGGAATAACGAGTACGATTAAATAATAAAGTAAGTAATAAGCATAAATTACAATAAAAAAAATATATTTTTGGTAATACAATAATTCATTCTAAATTTATCCAAAGTATTTCTTTGTGTTACAACATGCAGGTTTTGTTCTTTTCTTTTTTATGATTATGTTATTTACTACTGGTGAAAATTGGAAACTATATAAATTAAAAATAAAATAATATATCCCAGATCACCAATTTGAATTCTGCATATCCAATTCCACTATCCAGCAATGTTATCGTGTCCGCATTGGGAAATCGTGTACGCGGAGTGCACTGCACGGGTATCTTTCTCAACGTTGAACAGGCGTTAGATAAATTCTGGCATCCGGAACTGACATAAAAACTTCATAAATTCTTACCACTTACATACTTCCTCATTATCCGTTCGTATCTTACTGATAGATACTTCAAAGTAACAACGCCTATTCTAAGTTTGCTAGTGTTCCTCATGGTATCCCCTATAGGTCCTATCTTTTAGACGGTCTTATACAGGTGACATCCCAACACTGCCATCACAACCTATGCCGATGACGCATGTATCCTATCAGTTAATGGTCTCGGGACCTTCTAACACAGAACTTTAATTGGTAACTATAATACCTACCAATGGGTAGGGGTAGTTTCTATCCATGTTGTACATATCATATTACCGATTCAAATTTACTATTTGTATTTTTTATTTGATGCGCTTGTCAATTTCAATAACTATATATATATATATATATATATATATATATATATATATATATATATATATATATATATATATATATAATTTTTTTTTTTTAATACAAATGGATCATTGATTTGAACAATACTATGCTATGGATTTTATTTCGTGTTTTAAAATATGATCCTGTTGCATCCAGTATGCACCATCTAATGATATTAACGTTCGTCCAGTGATCGAAATTCGACTATAATCATAATTAAATTAAAATTAAAGCAAAAATATATGAATTCGTATTTTTCAATTTTTTTTTCTACTCTTATACTTTCATAGGTATACTTTAATATCTAATTACAATACAAAACAGTTCAGAACCATTTGTTTGCTGTTTGAGTTATTTGCAAATAAAATTCTAAATCCATCATAACTTTTTTTCAGCCTCTTTTCGAAGAAGTATTTTATACATAAATTAAAAGAGCTTCAAGGAGAACATTAGCCAAGTCTCATTAAAATCGTTAAAGCCGTTTCGGCACCACAGTCTATAGCGCCACGCGTTTTTCGGCCATTTCGAAAAGAGAGGCCGGATGGTATCAAAATTTCAAAGGAATCGCTGAATAACTTTCCAAGATTAGCTGTTGAACGAAAAAGCAATTTATATTTACATACACTTTAATCATGTCATAACTAAATTTATCATATTTCCTTAAACATTACTTATACAAAGACAAAAGACTCAATTTGTCATCGACCGTTTCCCAACTATGGTTCAAATGGTGGGAATGACACTTGAAGATATGTGGAAACAATTACGAAAACCCGGGATTATCCTCACATTCAGGATAGAAAGAGGATGTAAGCTTTTGTCACAGCACTTATGGCTCTGTCATTATGATTCTCTCATAGATATTTCGTAATGCTACACCGCGGCTGATTACTATGGGAACCGAAACCGACAGAATATAGGTCAGCAGGAGCTCTCCGATGAAGAAACAAGGAAGTGAACAACCTGTTCCAACTCAACGGCGCCAATCATGGAATTATTTGTGAACCACGTTATGTAGATTTTTTTCTCCCTTTCCCTTTCCATTATATTATTACTTATCATAGTGAACCATAGTTCTGTGAATGTAAGAATATAAATTAGCTAAATACAGAGATAAACACCTTGAAAATTCGGTATTTCACCCGTATCCGAAAAGAAAATAACTTTCAATATAATTTGGCTTTATAGACAAGATGTACAATGTATCACAAAATATCATCTAGGTTGAACCCAACGGTTATGGAAAGGGGATCCAGTGATGGAGGAAGTTTGGACTTTAAATGTAAATAATAAGCTTCCTCGTAGACTTAAAGGTTCCAGTTTTTCTATATTGAAGAACAATGCCTTCTATTGACAGCTGTATGAACGAAGTTCCCAAAAGAATATTTTAGAATGCCTATCCTGTTTTTTCCATACTGCTTTTGAGATGAGTGTGTTTCAAATTTTCCTACTAACAGTTTTGCTGAGAGTAAGTAGAAAATTTACGTTGTCTTATCTTTTTCGTTATCTTTAAAGTTAAATAAATAAAATTAAATAATTTTAGAGTTATTCTGAGGCACGTCCATTACTGTTACAGACTCCCTGTCCATTGCTAGAACAATTGAATATCGGGGTGTCCATCACTAGAGCAAAAAGGTGTTGTTTTTTGGTGTTGATTATACCTTCATAACTGACTTTTTTTTCTTCTTTTTTTTTATGTGCTAAATAGAAAAAGAAAGACCCTAGAGATTCTAAATGTCCAACGGAGAAATTTATAACTATAAAAATCACGGCGCCATAAGCCTAGACAAAAATTTCCTTAGCTATGTCCATCATTGGTGCGCTTACCCTAATTAGTGTAAAAGATTCATCTAAACCATGATTTTCACAGATTTTCGGCTTTATTTTATTTAAATATTTTCTTGATACAGTTTCTCACCGATGCTATTATATTTATTGTTTCATTTTATTTAATGTCCAACTTTCGGATTTAATTCATTTTGATATATTGTTCTATGTACGAAGGGTCAATATAGTTTCTATTTATTTTGTGCGTGTTTCTTTTTCTTCCTACTGTAATCAATTTTTTCTTTAGTTTAGTAACATCTGCAACGTTTCGTGATCCTGATCCATCATCAGGAATTCTCTTCCTCCGATCTTAATATTGTCATATTAGGAATATTTCTGCATATCCTTGCATTATTAAATGGCAATACTCCAAATGTCTATAGTAATGTTTCTAATAGAACAATTTTAACAAATAATAATTTTAAAAAATATGATGATATAACATATTATGAATTTAAAAGTACAAAAAACCGGCTCAAAACAGAGATGAAGGTGTATATACGGACCAGGTGAGGTGGAAGTAGCCTAAAAATAACCATGAACTGTACGAAGATGTCGAAGATCTAGAAACATCAATGCAGAAAAGAAGGTCTTAATTCTTTTTTCACGTGAAAAGAGTGAGTAAAGATAGGATATACAAACAGATATTTGAGAAAGTAATGGGCCAGAAGCATATCAAGGATATCATAAAAAGATAAAGGAAGAGGAATAAATTCAGAGGAAAGATGAACAAGACCCAATAGAACAACAAAACAAGTCTTTGGAGTAGAAAAGGGGAGAAAGGAAGAAAGGTAATAGACTGAAGAACGGACTAGTGAGTGAGCAAAAAAAAAAAAAAAATGAAGAATGTTTGGGCTAAAAAATAAGCCAAGCTGGCCGAAATCGTGGATTATGGATTTATATGACCATATTAGGAGTAATAAAAGGAAATTTCTGATTATCAGACAGAGCTCATAAACGTTTAGTAGGTTACCAAATTAGAAAAAAAAAACTATCTCAGCATAAATAGAAAATATAATATAATTCAACTTTCATAGATGTACGATCACGGTCGTAGAAATTGTATCACACATTTCTTTTGATTCTTACGCTGATAACGTTGATTTTTTTTTTTTAATTGTTTTCTTTTATTTGTTAAATGACATGATTTCTTTTACAAATAATTCAAAATATTTACAAAATATGTCTTCATTTGAGTCGTTTCTCGCACTTCATAATAAAGCTTGCATTTTAAATAAACAATCACTCTCATTATAATAAATAAACCTAGGCCATCTGATATTAGATACATAATTCCACTTCATTTATGAATAAATTATTAATATATATTAATATACATACACATACGTATCCCGCAATACAAAATAAATAAAAATAACTAAAACTCATAATAAAACAAACATTAACCGAATCAATACCCTAATGACATAAACACTGTTAATAACCACTCAGTTGGTATGGGACGGTATCATTTGGGGAATAGAGTACATATTGGCTATTAATAATAAAAATAATAATATATGGTTCACTTTCTCAATACTGTCTATATTGTGGATGTTCTCTATATTAACATAAGGAGGTGAATCGGATATATATTGCTGCAGGTATCTCTCTATGTACTTTGGATGATGGATCTTTACTTCTTAAGGTTATAAGAAAACTTTAGCAATGCTTCAGTTCAGTTTTAACTAATGCCGCGATAAATGCTATAATTATGACCTGTATCAAAAACTATCCTCGTCAAGAAACATTAAAACTGTGACGTTACATGTACTAAACGAATTTTCACGGGAAATAGTAACCCGGATATGGTACCACCAATCATCGAAAGTCATAGTTTTGAAAAATAAAAAATAAAATAAATGATGGTACCATGGTGAAAAGAAAGAAACCGGGGAGGAAAAAATACAAGTCAAACGTTCAATTTGACCGCTTAATGGTGCGATTGTTTTTAGGATATCGTTTCATAACTGGCAAAGAAATATCCTAAGACCTTGCAATAGCAATCTGGTAAATAAAATAAAAAATTTACTAGGTGATGAAATTTGTATGACCGCGACTGTGTATATTTTTTTTCAGCTATAACAAACTTTTTCGTATTCTTTTTCATTACTAATATTGTTTCATTTCTATTTTTATTTATTTTTTTTAAATTGTTATCTTTGTCCTCATATCTGAAGATAGCTTACTGTATATAATATTGGATAAATAAATTTCATATTTAATATAACATAATGCTACTTTGAACCAAAGATGGGCATATGCTGCTCTGAGTACTGAGTACCAAGTATTTTACTCAAATACTGACCTTTTTTGGGTATCAACAAATATAATTACTACTTCAGTTGATGTAAAACGATTCACTGAATTAATTATTGAATT